TTTACTGTTGTGGGCTTAGTAGCACTTTAAACCCTGTGCAGGAGCAAAATATCTGGACTACTCAGCATTTCCTGAGATCTTGCCAGAAGATCTTGATATCAACTTCACCTAAGCTCCATGTCGAGAAACCAAGAGAAAGATAAGCATATTTGATACATTTTTACCTACACTTTTTATTTATTTCTTATTTTAGATAGTGTTTTGGCATGGGGGGTGGGGGCAAAATAATTAAGCAGACATTTATTTTTCAAGCAAGTTCTGCTTTAAAGTGAAACTGAATTTAAAAAAATAAATATTTGCTATGTCACATGGAAAGTTTAGAAATTATTATTATTATACAGGATTTATATAGCACCAACAGTTTGCTCAGCACTTTACAATATAACGGGAGACAATACAGAAACAATACAGTTCAATACAAGAGGGTTAGGAGGACTCTGATCCTGGGAGCTTACAATCTAAGATTATTATTATACAGGATTTATATAGTGCCAACAGTTTGCTCAGCACTTTACAATATAACGGGAGACAATACAGAAACAATACAGTTCAATACAAGAGGGATAGGAGGGCCCTGATCCTTGGAGCTTACAATCTAGGAGATGTTATTTGTCCCTAAGCAATATCCTGAAAAATTTACTTTTTGGCTAGAATTCCTAAAAAAAAATGATGGAGAACTTCCTGGTATGGTATACACCTAGGCACTCCTGTGCTCAACCTGTGGCCCTCCAGCTGTTGTGGAACTATAAGTCCCATCATGTCTCAGCCTTTTGGAGTCATGCTTGTAACCATTAGGCTTGCAAAGTCTCAAGGGATTTGTAGTTCCACAACAGCTGGAGGGTCATCTACAGTCTCATAGCTGTATATCTGCAATATAACCACTTCAAGACCAGATTTTTTCACCCCCTTCTTGCTTAGGCCATTTTTCAGATTTCAGTGTTGTCACACTTTGAAGGACAATTATTCATGCAACACTGTACCCAAATTAGTTTTATATGCTAGCATTTTCTTTTGGTGGTATTTAATCACTGGGTTTTTTTATTATTTTCTATATAAAGAAAATAATATTAAAAATACAAAAAAACAGTTTGACCACGTTTTTGCTATAAAAGTTTGCAAATAAATAATCTTTCATTACAAATTTAGGCCAAAATGTATTCTGCTACATTTCTTTGGTAAAATTAACCCAAATCAGTGTATATCATTTAGTCTGTAGGAAAGTTACAGAGTCTACAAATTTTGGTATATACTGTGAGTATAGAAAAAAATCACCCCACCCTTTAAAATAATCACATTTTGTTGCTTTGCAGCCTGAAATGAAGACAGAAACAGTTTTTGTTTTATCCAGCTGTATTTACTTGCAACTTATAACTTCCAAGTGAAAGATATAACACCAACATGTAAGAATTTTTTTTTTTTTTTTATTCAGACACAGAATCACTGAGTTGGAAAAAGGATCTCCACCTTGTGTCAGTATTTTGTTAAGACACGTTTTGCTCTAATTACAGCCTTTAGTCTGTTGGGATACTAGTTTTGCAATATTTGCCCACTCTTCTTTGCAGAACTGCTCAAGTTCAGTTTCATTTGATAGTGACTGTGTGTGGACTGCAGTCTTCAAGTCATTCCACAGATTTTCAATGGGGTTCAAGTCTGGGCTCTGACTAGGCCATGCAAAGACATTCACCTTTTTCTCCTTCAACCACTGTGTGGTAATTTTTTCTGTGTGCTTTGGGTCATTCTCATTTTGGAAGGAATTGATCAATTTAAATAGAAAAGAATAACCCCCCCCCCCCTTTAAAATAATCACATTTTGTTGCTTTGCAGCCTGAAATGAAGACAGACATAGTTTTTGTTTTATCTAGCTGTTTTTACTCATAACTTACTATAACATCCAAGAATTGATCAATTCTGCTGTACTGATGGTCTATCTCATTTCTTCAGGCCCTAATTTGTTGAGGACCTAAAAGAAAGTAGACAGTTCAAGGTATTTAGTAAGAGGCATGGTAAGTTTTTTGAAGTTGTAATTTGTCACAATTTTGTGGAAAATTAAGAAATTAGAAAAACTTTCATTCACAAAGTTGTCATTTTAACAAATTATTTCTCATACACAGTATAGAAAAATTTACAATTACACTCCAAAACATATTCTGCTATGCCTCCTGTGTATGGGGATACAACATGTGTGAGACTTTGTCACAGCCTAGATGCAAACAGTAACCCAAAATCCATGGAGCACTTTGATCTTTCAAGAAGCATAAATTACACATCTAATTTCCTAACAACCTATCATATTTCTTAAGTCCCTAAAGTGCCAGGACAGGAGAAACACACACAAAATGACCACATTTTATAAAGCAAACACCCCAAGGTATTTTCTGAAAGGCATAGTGAGTCTTTTGCACATGCAATTTTTGCCACAAGTTTTCGGAAAATGCAAAAAATTAAAATGTCTTTTTTACACACGTTGTCAATCAATAAGATATGTCTAACAAACATCAAAGGTATGTTTATAATTACATCCCAAACACATTCTGCTATTCCTATGGTGATACCACATGTGTGAGACTATTTCACAGCCTAGCCACATAGAAGAGCCCAAGATCCAAGGAGCACTCTCCAAGGGCATTCAAGGGGCATAAATTGTACATCTAATTTCTTGAATACCTATAACATATTTCGAGGTCCTTGAGCACCAGGACAGTGAAAACACCCACAAAATGACCACATTTTGGAAAGCATAAACCCAAGGCATTTCTAAGGGGCAAAGTCAGTACTTGAAGACTTAATTTTTTTTCCCCCAAGTTTCAGCATATGCATACTTAGAATAACACCACAAAACACATTCTGCTACTCCCTCTAAGTGAGAGAAACTTTTCACAGCCTAACCTAAGAGTGACTGGTGAGGCTCTCATTAGAAACACTGCAGAGATTGGCAGCACTGGTCTAATGACATTGTACTTCTGTGGCGGTGATCAGAGACAATGGCAGGTGACACTGATATACAGTGATATCAGAGCAGCCAGCCAATGTACATGATCACTGCCACAGTAGTACAATGTCACCAAAGTGACACTGCACTTGGTCTTACAATTTTTTTACAACTTTTTTTTTTTTTTTACAATTTGTTTAGCATACTGTCACCAGAACAATTCAGTGTAACCAAAGTGGTGCTGTACTGGTTCAGGAGTTGAGCAGTTTTTTTTTTTACACTGTGATTGTTTGTACAGTCATGATGACTGTATAAGTGATTACTTTCCTAACACTCTGACTACATTCATGCAGCCATTGCTTACTGATAGGTCACAGCGATCACATGAATATGACCTTGTTCCCCGCTCTGTGATCTGCTGTGTTCAGGGGATATTATTATTTTTTTTATTTTTATTATTATACAGGATTTATATAGTGCGAACAGTTTACGCAGCGCTTTACAAAATGAAGGTAGACATTACAGTTAAAATACAATTTTGTACAAGAGGAAACAGAGGGCCCTGCTCGTTAGAGCTTACAATCTAGGAGGGATACAGAGATCACAGATCATGCCAAGGGCACACACAAGGAGTGCAAGCAGGAGGATGTATCAGTATGTCCTCCCAGAATGACACTTACCTGGCTCAGCTGTATATTTACATTGGCCAGGCAGGAACAGGTTAATAAGATTTGGAGTGAGATTTGGCTATGTCATTATTTGTGCTGCTCACTGTTCATTTTTCTGGACGTTCTGATATAAAGAAGCAAAAGTTCTGCCTCTACCTAGATGCTACCGCCACACAAAAAGACACAATACAAACCAAGGCATGGTTAATCAGTAATGGGGAAAGATCAGTTGCAGACAGACCACAGGCAATGTAATTTTACATTTCTATTGGAGTTTAAATGTCTATGTTAGCATGGATATTTGAGTAAGTCTTATGTGGAATGGCATGGTCGCAAATTTGATTCGAGTTTATTTTGAACCCAGAGTCTTCAGAATTTATTAATAAGTTGGAATTGGTTTGGTAGTGTAAAAAAATGGTATCATCAGCAATTAGTGCTATATTAGATTCTTTGTTGTCACACTTTGATCCCCTGAAAGTTTTGTGAGAAACTTACCAGAGCAGTGAAAATTACAATGCAGTAAATAGGATAGTGAACATGGGTTTGTACGCCTTCTCTACATCTAGAGAAAGAAGCAGAGAAAATCAGTTTTATCATGTGACATGTATACATTACTGAGGGATTTACCAAGAGAAACATCAGTTTTGTGGTGTATATATCCGTGCATTTTCTATGCACCTAATTAACAATGTTATAAGGCAATATTTCTATGGTGTTGCACCAGCTGCACCAAAATCAGTAAGCGTTCCTGTCAATGTTCTAATTTACAAACAGTCCTAAAATACTGTATACACCATTACCAGAGTGGTGTAAATAATGTAGTGAATGGAATTTCAGTGTTTCAGTTTCATTGACCATTGGTTACATTTATTTGCTAATTCCCTCTATTGTTCTCTAGAATTTTTACGTTGTATCCCTTGTTACAAAGATTTACAGTGCTCCTCTGCTTCATCTAGTGACCATATTTTACTACTGTATATAACAAAAGAACCTTCATTCAGAAGAGAAAATTGTCTCATCAACATTCATTTTTGTCCAATTTGCACAGAACGAATGTAGACTCATTAGGTGTTGATTCATTAAAGGCAAATAGAGTGCACTTTGCATGTGCAGTTGCTCCAGCGCTTAGTAAATCACGTTTTTTTGATGGGAGACTTCACTTTGATAATAATACCCAATTGCAAGGAAACATTTTAAAAAACGTGATTGAATGGTGGAAATCAGCAGAGCTTCCCCCATTTACGAAGATCTGGAGCAACTGCAATAGTATAGTGCAGCTGCACTTACAAAGAGCACAGTCTATTTACCTTTAGTAAATCAACCCCCTTAGTCTAGTGTGTTAGCAGTAGAGTGCTTTTCTACCTCAACAATCCAAGCACTGAAAGTGTGATCTCTGTACTGATTCAGTTGTTGCAAGCAGGGGCGGACTGACCATTTGGAAACTCGGGCACTGCCCGAGGGCCCGGGGTCAGTAGGGGGCCCCATGAGATGCCCCTGCTACCTTTTTCATAGGCTTTTTTGAGTTTGGGCAAGGACACAGGGGCCCCATGATCCCCTATTGCCCGGGGGGCCCCATTAGTTGTCAGTCCGCCCCTGGTTGCAAGATAGCTGTAATTTACAGTCTCAGGAAAATTGGCAGACAGTGACTCAATTCAAATGACACCATGCAGATCAGATCGTAGAAAGCTTTAATCAAAAACATGTGCAGATCTTCACAGATGAACATCAAATCAAGAAAATCATAGTATTTAGATGCTTAGAATAAGACACACTGAAAAGAGGGTAGGACTAACTTTACAGAGCATCTCCTAGCTACGGAATGAGGAAGGGATAAAATATTTTAAAGGCAAACAATCAACAATGATTCTATAAAATGATAAGCACTTTACAGGTCCAGGACTGTGATACTAGAGTGATCGTAACCCAGGAGAGATTCTCCCGTGAGTATGCCCATCTCAGGGAAGAAGATTGTCTGGAATGTGAAATGCGTCCTGCATTGTCACTCTCAGTACTTTGGTACTGTGTTTGTTAGCCGCAGGACTCTGTTCAGACCACCGACTCAGTGAGTTACTGTGGCCCTTTTTTTGGAGCTTGGCATGTGTTAACTCTCATTGTCTTGCAGGCCTGCCCACTCCTCTATGAGGTTAATGATTAGAATATTTGGTGCTGCATTACACTTGGCTGTGTCTCAAGTACTCTGGGGAGAATGGCACTATGCAACCTTTTAATGTGGAATATGCTGTCTGGCTATCCTCTGATGATGCCACATCGGCATGGCGTAACGCGTAAGGAAGGATTAGGTGAGTGACAGTGCTTGATGCCGGATGCTGCTGGAGTGAATGCTGAGGGATATAGATGATTATTGCTATCTGCATGATGTACTACTGGCTACATGTGAGTGCATGCAGTAGCACTTTATTTTATTCATACTACACTGGTCAGTATTATTTGTTCATACTACAATGGTCAGTATTATTCATTTTGGAACATCTAGATCTGTGGGGGCTATTTTTTTTTTTCCTTGATCAGAAAGACATACAAGTGGAGTAGTTGAAGCTGAAACTTGGCTGATCTTCATCACAGTTAGACCAGTGTGGTCGTATCGTGTGATCTATGGGTGGTTATTAACTTGGACCAAAGAGAGGCGTATGGGTGGAGAAGCTGAGGCTAGAGAGATCTGCTGTTTCTGAGCACTATTAGACCTGTCAGGTCTTACTTTGAGGTGAGAGGCCATCTAGGAGCACAGTGGTTGTTTGCACGAAGATTCACTATATTTGAGCACTTAGAGCCTGTGGAGCTATATTTCACTTGTTCAATGGTGAAGCACGTATGTGGATTTTATTATACAAAAGAGACTTCTATCACAGATTTTTATCTTGAATCATTCATCTTATTCACCTATTGTTTTTTGCTCTTTTATGTTTTCATTATTTATTTTCATTTGATTGTCATTATTTACATTGTACTCATTGTATACAAGATTTGTAGAGAGGCAGCGCCACACATTTTATTTGGTTATTATATTATTCACTGATTTGGAAACAGTTTGTGTAGGCAGCGGCCCTGGGGAATTTATTCTATTTATATTCACACATACACGTTACTTTATTTTTGTAGGTTTAATATTTGTGCACAGTATACTCTAGGCAGCGAGCTAGTTTACTTCTCATTTCACGCTCCCTAGCTATTACCCCTGCACCACACTGGCTTGTTTTGCAGGCCTCCCAGCAATTAGGTCCCTTTTACAAAGGGCAGACTCCCCCTGCAATCTACAAATAATAGGTCCGTGTCCACTCCCTTTATGACGAGCAGACACAGCCCGCTGATGATCAAATAAAAAAAGGACCACCTGTCCGTTTACACCCAACTGCCATCCAGTCAGATCCACTGCAAGAAAGGTAAATGGATCTCCAGCTATCTGTTTTTAGCAGTTTGGATTGGATTGAATGTAGGCAGGTGTAAATGGATACAAGTTCAGCCTAACCCTTTAGGTGCTACCTTGCACGGACTAGACAGCGAGGGTTTTAAACACAATCCAGTGGCTGCAGCCATCGGGATTGTGTATAAAACTGACAGGCAGACCCCTGCCTGTCAGATGGAAGCAGTCAGGTGGCTGATCACTTCCAGAGCCCCCGTACCGGTGCCCCCGTGCATGCCATGTATCTGAGCTCCACTTGCCCATCTGCGGGCCCAAGGAAAGCCATGGTGAGCGAATGGAGGAGAGGGAGGAGAGTGAATGTGTGTCTTCTTTCAATGCCCCGGAAGGTGACATGTGTGACGCCACCGCTATCACTTTCTCAGTCAGCACAGCCAGGACGCAATGGATTGCAATGTGGTCTGTATTGCAATACATTGAGTGGAAGCCAGAGGAGACATGCAGGGTCTTTAAGACCCTGCATGTCTCAATAAAGAGAACCAGTCACCTAAAAATCATTACATAAGGTACTTTGTGTCCCCTTTGTGATGGAAAAAAAAAAAGTTAAGTGACATTTTTTCTTTTTTTGAAAAAAATAAAGTTATTATTCCCCAAAAATGTAAACGCCCCCCATAAAAACATATGAACATAAACGCACACACAGGGCGCCTACATGTGAAAACGTTGATTGCGATACACGTTACATATTGCCACGCACTGAAGCTTGTCACCATTTCATAGGTGAACACAAATTTAAGTTTTAGCATGTTGGGTATCTCTGCGCAATCTCATATTTTATAATTTACCAAAATGTGGGTAATTTATTGCTTTTGTTTGCCCTAAAATTCACTTTAGTGTGTTTTTTACAGAAATTTTGCATTTCCTAGACCTTTAGGGTAATATCGCGGGACATAAAAAATTGGAACTACCACTAGTTTATTCTCTAAGGTGTCTGCTTTCAGAAAATACACTATATTGCCAAAAGTATAGGGAAGTCTGCCTTTACATGCACATGAACTTTAATGGCATCCCAGTCTTAGTCTGTAGGGTCCAATATTGAGTTGGCCCACCCTTTGCAGCTATAACAGCTTCAGCTCTTCTGGGAAGGCTGTCCACAAGGTTTAGGAGTGTGTCTATGGAATGTTTGACCATTCTTCCAGAAGCGCATTTGTAAGGTCAGGCACTGATGTCAGACAAGAAGGTCTGGCTCGCAGTCTCCACTCTAATTCATACCAAAAGTGTTCTATCGGGTTGAGGTCAGGACATTGTGCAGGCCAGTCCAGTTCCTCCACCCCAAACTCACTTATTCATATCTTTATGGACCTTGCTTTGTGCACTGGTGCTCAGTCATGTTGGAACAGGAAGGGGCCATCCCCAAACAGTTTCTACAAAGTTGGGAGCATGAAATTGTCCAAAATGTCTTGGTATGCTGATACCTTAAGAGTTCCCTTCACTGGAACTAAGGGGCGAAGCCCAACCCCTGAAAAACAACCCCACACTATAATCCCTCCTCCACCAAACTTTACAATTGGCACAATGCAGTCAGGCAAGTACTGTTCGCCTGGCAACGACCAAACCCAGACACATCCATTGGATTGCCAGATAGAGAAGCATGATTTGTAACTCCAGAGAACACATCTAGACTGCTCTAGAGTCCAGTGGTGGTGTGCCTTACACCACTGCATCCGACACTTTGCATTGGACTTGGTGATGCAAGGCTTGGATGCAGCTGCTTGTTCATGGAAACCCATTGCATGAAGCTCTTTATGAACTCTTGAAGGCCACATGAAGTTTGGAGGTCTTTAGCTACTGACTCTCCAGACAGTTGGCAACTTCTGCTCACTGTGCACTTCAGCATGCGCTGATCCCTCTCTGTCATTTTACGTGCCCTACCACTTCGTGGCTGAGTTGCTGTTGCTCCCAGTTGCTTCCACTTTGTTATAATAACACTAACAGTTGACCGTGGAATATTTAGAAGCAAGGAAATTTCAGGGATGGACTTATTGTACAGGTGGCAACCTATCACGGTATCACACTTGAATTCACTAATATCAGGGAACGAGAAGATCGCCGTAACGCATGAATCTACGCCTGCGCAGGATGCTGACAAGCATACAGGCAGGCGGGCACTAGGACCCAGGAGCACCTGTCACCGATGACGGCGCCGGGCAGGCACTAGGACCCAGGCGCGCCTGTCGGCACTGGGCGGGCTATTTAAAGAGCACCTCGGTGTTGATTCAGTGCTGACTGGTCTTTCAGCCCCCCCCCCCCCCGTGTCCTGCTAGTTCCTGACGTTCCTTTTGTTGCTGACCCAGCTTGTTCCTGACCCAACTCTGATTGCTCTCCTGCTCCTGGTTCCTGACTTCGGCTCTGCTCCTGACCTTGGCTTTCTCTTCTGATTCTCTGATTCGGTACTGCGCTGCCTGACTGTTTATGACCCTGACTTTTCTGACCCTGCTCCAGTTCTGTTCCGGGCTACCTACCCTGCTCTGCTGCACATCCGGTAATCCACAGTACCTGCCTGCTCTATTGCTACTGTGCCCTAAATCAGTGGATACTCAGTCTACCAAGGCCATCATCTGCAAGAGCGACAAGCAACAACTCCTGGTGCTCTTGTCCCCCTGGTCCCTAGACTCCCCCTGTTCCAACCTCAGTGGGGTCAGGGCTAGGGACACAAGTGAGGCCGACCTCGTCAACTCAGTCTCCCATCAGGTACGTGACAGTACCAGTCAGCCCTGAATCATCACCGAGGTGCCCTTTAAAATAGCCGACAGGCGCGCCTGGGTCCTAGTGCCTGCCTGGCGCCGTCATCTGTGACAGGTGCGCCTGGGTCCTAGTGCCCGCCTGCCTGCATGCCTTGTCGGAATCCTGCGCAGGCGCAGATTCTTGCATTGCGGCGATCTTTCGTTCCTGATAACTAAGCTCATGAGAGCGACCCATCCTTTCACAAATGTTTGTAGAAGCAGTCTGCATGCCTAGGTGCTTGATTTTTTACACCTTTGGCCCACACACCTGAGGTGATTGGAATACTTGAATCCAATGATTTGGAGAGGTGTCCCAATACTTTTGGCAATTTAGTGTATATATAATGTATTGGGGGTTTTGTGTAATGTTCAGGCTTAAAATTATTTTTTAAACGTGTGCAAACGTGTGCAAAAAAACCCGCAAAAACAGCTCTGGCAGCTAAAGGGTTAAATTAGTTAGTCA